TGCATCTAGACTGGGATAAAAGTTGTATTTTTAAATATATTAGCTAATACGGCTCGACTAACACATTTTGAAACCATGCGTAGATAGGACAAGTCTAATGCTACAAGGTGTTAAAAAGTGTTTGCTAGGTCATTCTAAAAATATAACTTTTATACTAGCCTAGACAATGCCAGAATGCTTTTAGAAGTGACACACAGTGCTCATGGGAAGTCCCACTGTAACAGCCAAGGAGAATTATAACGTAGGAAATGATCAATAGAAGTTTCTCTACAAAGCTCCTCAAAGCAATGACACAAATTAACATGTGGGGAAACCCTCCAAAGCCTTGTCTAGACTACATGAGAAAAGATCCTTTTTCAGTAGGTTTAGTTCAGTCAGGTCTTCTTTCTTAAAAAGCAAAACCTACTTAAAGTCTACTAAGGTTACCAGCTTCTGCTCAATTTTAGCAGGTCACAGTGTGGATCCTGGCTGACTGCAACTAAACCTGCTAAAGTCATGTTACAGGTGCTGAAAAGTCTACAGATTTGTCAGGTGGAGTTTTCAGTTCTTAAATAAGCTTGATTGAATTAGTTAGCTTGGAAATGGCCCCTTCCCTTAGGCAGATGAGACTGTAGTTCATTTTCCGTGCCCATTCAATCTTTTGCCCCAATGCATTTGCCTGAAATGTATCAACGAATGCAAAGTTCAACGTACCTTTACCATTAGCGTTTCTGCTTGATGGTGAGCACCAATGCATTTCGTACAGGCCAGCAAATGGTTTTAATGCTGACTGCATTTTTACTCAAAAGCACCAAGACAAAACTCTTTATCTAATCTGCTATTTTAAACAGCTACTTGAAAAAATCTGTTCCACGTAACCATTGTAATATTTGCCTTCTACAAAGTCAGCAGATAAATTCTTAGCCATTAATGTACATTAGTGAGTGAATAAATTAGAGTAACTGCTTCCCAGAATTGTACTAGCATCTTTGACATCTTAAACAATGCTTTCAGACAAAAAAAAAAAGGAAGAGAGAGAAAAAAGTCACCAGCACAACTAAAGAACAAGTGTGGGCCCAGCCCCTTTGACTGTTTAATCTTAGGCCTTGTTTAATACGGAAAAAAGTCCACTAGCTCTATTTGTTATTATATCTTTATGACATGGGTGGGTATCTGTCTGGTAGGAAAAAATATAGATTTCAAATAGTCCTCTTAGAGATTGCCTCTACGATATGGGTGGGTATTTGACCTTCAGGACAAAAATGACAAGTCACCGCCTCAATTGAAATGGTTCACCAAATAGTAATTCACCAGCAATAACTCTGGGTGACCACAGTAACATCGTCTGAACCGGACTCGCTTGAGACGCCACGGTTTGAGCAGTCATTTGTCAACAGCTCTCAAACAGCAGAGTTGCAAAACGGAGCCAATGAAATCATCATGATGAGTCCCTCTCGCAGTTGTCACAAGTTTTGGGATGTTTGGGTGCATCACCTCAAACGTTTTAGAAATATACACTTATTTCCTGAAGAAATGGGGTGTTTCCTATGCTTGTGAGGCCTGAAGTCAAAGAGCACGTTATTCAGATTAAGACGGAGGCACCCTCCGCTGTCAGTAATGGCTCTTCTGTAAGCAGTTGCTGTCACCTGCAGTCCTGGACAAAATCTTTCTGTCCTTCTTAAGCCAAAACCACCGTTAAACATTAATGGGAAGTTGATCTGAATAAGACCAGCATGCTCTGACCTGCTGTGGGTTCTTAATGCAGGTTTTCAGCACTGCCTACCCTGAAACTCACTCAAGTGCTAAAATGACAGCTTTCAAATCTTTCCTTTTTTTTTTCTTAATCTGAAAGACAGAAATGCCCCTGCACAGATCTTTTTATCCTTTCAGAAGAAGACCTCTAACAGCAGATTTCTTTGGGGCCTAAAATATTTTACAGACGTCCACTAAAGGCAGTAGTAAAGCTCCCACTGCTCTAATAGGAGCAGAGGCAGCTCCTTCTCAGTGAAAGCGAACAATTAAGCATCCTAAGTTATTATTTCCTATCATTGTGCAATAAAAGAGGCTCTGGACATTGCCGCATGAGTGATCTAAGTGTCCAGGAGTGCAAACACCGTGTGACCGCTTTCCGGGAGCCGCGCTGTTTAAGGAGTCAAAGTACATAGGCAGCCGGGTCGATATCCTATTAGGCTAGAAACAGTTTTGAATATCAAAGGCTGACGAACTTAATGACTAAAAATATAAGTACCTGACCCGGAGGATTAATCACACACTGTCAAGCTGAAATTGGTGCAATTCTTCCAATCATTAACGTTTTGCTTACAAAAATGTGCTTTTCTGTTTGTTTTTCTGCTAAATGATAACCATTTTCATGTTGAATCTCCTGATAAAAGAGTCGAAAACAAGACGGGAGTTGTGCTGTAAAGGTCATACGTGCTAGATCGGCACGAAATAGCCAACAGGCAAACAAATACGAGAAAGGAGGGTGGCACGGAAGGGGCTCGAAGCTTTTACCGAGCGGTGTAAAGTGCTTTGGCTGGTTTCTCTCCCGCAGGAGAAGAGGCCGGC